ATCTGATGGACTGTTGCTAATTATTGCACTAGCCCGTGTATTTTGGTTTTACTAATTTTGCAAACCCACATATACTTACTGCTGTGTTTCATCCAGGAGTCTAAAGTTGCCCTCTTCTATCAAATGCGTTTATGCCTCAGAAAAGGTGCATTTTGTCCGTTTTGTTTGCCCTAGCCAGGTTTAAGTTGTATAACCAGCACTCACTTTCTGGATAGCCACTGGTCTGGCTGACCTTGGCAGCATGACAGCTGTCGTATTTTCACATGGATGAACTGTTCTTGAACAACTTCTCCAATGTATCGGGAACAAACAAGCTTTTCTTCAGCATCAGGAATGCAGCAGGTCTTCTTTCCAACTATTTTTTTTCTCCTTCCACAGACATATTTATTGTGGCAATGGCAAGAAAATCCTACTGCTAAGCCCTCGTGTTTGAGTTCCTTTAAATTTCCTTCAGGGGAGTGACAGAAGAGCCAACCTAGATCATGTCAGGACTTGCTTTCTTTAATTTAACCCTTCATTTATCTTTAATAGCCATGGGTATTAATTTGTAGTGGCAGGAAAAGTGGGAGGGCAAAATCCTTTTACATCTTTGGTGCTAGTATTTCCATTTCTGCTGTGTATATATTTAATTTAAATCACTGTGGTAGTTAGCAGTGACAATGAGTGCAATGCTGCTGGGGAGGTATTCACAAACCCAAAGGGTTGGTTTGCAGTGTGATGGACAAGATGACCAGCGATGAATGGCAGGCAGTATTTTATACAAGTGGAGTGACCTCCAGCTGATAACGTGATTGCTGGGTCCTTTGGCTGAACAAGGGGAGTCAGAGGATGGATGGAGTAGGAGCAAGGATTCAGAAGTAGGAGTCAGGATTTAGAAGCAGCAGCATGGGAAGACGGCAGCGGCAGCCAGGGAGCTCAGACTAGCAAAGAGCAATGGTGAGAGCACAGTCCTGCTGACACCAAAATCTTTTTGGGAATGCAGCAGTTCTGTTAGAAAAAAAAAATTCTTCGTCTCCAAAAAAGGAATTTTCTATCGAGTTGTGAGAAAAGGAAAAAACGCTCCCAGAAGAGCCAATAACCCATTAGAGCTACTGCCCAGCAGACAGAAGTTTGTGTTAATTTGAGGCCTGATTCAGACTGGAGGTTTGTATTTAACTGAAGCCTGTATTTCTACATTGGTCCTTGCAGTTACTTACAGATCTGTAGTAGTCCAGTGCTATAGTATGGATTAACTGCTTGGCAGCTTCAATCCTTGAGTAGTTTTTGCAGCCTGCACTGAGCTGCATCTTAGCACACCTAAATGTAATCTAAAATTAACTGATTTTCTCCAAAACTGTGCTTCCATACCCTCCAACCATGTCTCTGCGGCATAAGGAGGGAAGCATAGAATCAGGATTTAATAGCAATGTAAATCAGTAAATCCAAGTGCTTTGTGAAAGTTTGCATGTTTCTGTTTCTCTGCTCCATATGCACAAATGCTTTTCACACCAAGGATGTTAGTAGTCAGGGAGGGAATCAGCAAATATGTTTTGTTTGATTCATAAAAAAAATAAACCTTCAATGGTAGCAATAAGTATAATTGATGACTGAGTCCTGTGTGGCAGAAGAGCTGATGTTCAGCAATTACTTAAGTTTGGAGAGAGAGTTAAAGTTGAAGATTTTATTAACACTCCTGTGTTTTGCACATTTTTTTCATCTTGGGAATGAATTTCAGACCCCGGTGGTTAGTATTAATGCTATATATCCTCTGTGGTTAGTATTAATGCTATACAGCCCTGCCAAATGCGGAGAAAGTTAGAACTGAAAAAAATAACCCACTGTGAAGAAGTTAGATGCAAACAAACGGAGATGGAGGTTTATGCTTACAAAGAGCTCAGCTCGGCTGGCACTTCTCCTGGATCAGTCCTGTCAATCTAAATCTGAAATATTTGCAGAGTGAAGTGTTGCTAATGAGCAAGGCTGGCAGGACAGGACTGGAGGTGAAGAAGGCGCCTGAACAAGCAGTTTAAAGCAGGAACCAGGAGACCGGGCCGAACCCCGTGAATCAAACTGCTCCACTCTACCCTTGTCTTAATCTGTTCGCATCTGCCTTCCTGCCAAAGCCGGGGGAGACCGTCAGCCGGCACATGCTGTGCCAGCTCGGGAGTCGCCCGGCTCTTGCCTAGATGAGCGTGGGATGCTTTCATGTAGCCAGGGGGACTCCAACTCTAGTGTGTTCCAAAATAAAGTGCAGCCTATAGTTTGTTTTGTCTTTTAGTGGAATAAAAATATGGCACTTGGCAGAATGTGTTCTGTAAACTGGAGACTTTTTACTTAAAAAGTGAATTTGGCTGTGTAAGCTTGGGGTCTTGAAATTTCCTCTGAAAATACTGTTATTTTTTTAAGTTAATTTTTTCTGGAGTTGATTTAATTCAAAGGAAGTTTTGTTTGCTTGCTTCCTTGCCTGAGGTTTTTTGGTAGGTTTAAACAGATGAACTTCATTTCTTCTGCAGTTTATTTTGGTGTAGAATTCTGTAGAATTTGGAGGAGATAGTACAGTGCAAATGGAGTTAAGACTTCAAAATTTTGGGGTTAGAGTTTGCAGACCTCCAGGCCTTTGAGCTCAGACTTTGTAAGGGAACTGAAGGTCCAGTGTTTCTCTGGAGAGCTTGACAAAGACCTTGCCATCTCTGTTGGGGCCCTTGAGTCAACCCGCCAACCCCATTGCCCAGCACTGTTGGCATTATGCTATGCAAAGCCAGACTGGGAAGGCGCTTCCCACGTTTGCATGGCTGACACTGCCTTTCAGTGCAGATATTTTTAACTATTCCATGTCCCAGCTCCTCTCAGTACAGGAGTCTTGCTCCAGGGCTGTGGCAGACCAGGCAGGCAGCTGCTGAGCTCAGTGCCTGGTGAAGCCGGCAAAAATCCACCAGCAAAACCAGGGCAGTGCCAGCTTCTCCCCAAAGAGTAAGTCACTCTGAGAGGTTTTGCCACATAAGGGCCTGTTCGAGGCTATAGGCACCAGCTGACAGGGATGTCTTTGCCTCCCAACAGATGGCCGGGCTTTTTATTTCAGCAAGCAATCTCGCGCGGAGGGGTGGTCTCTGGATCCTGCCAGCACTTCGCATGACAGGGCCAGCTTAGGGCAAGAGGGATCTGATGTCCGTGCCCTTCATAGCTCATGAGCTAAATGACGAGCTGTTGACAGGAAAGCCATCATCTGAAGTGTAAGATCCTGAACTCTCCTCGCTTTTCGTTTTTCTTTGGCGGAATTAATGCCCTATTTGCTTGTCTCTCAAAATCCATTCTGGCACGAGTACAAACCCTCGCCTGGTGGCAAGCAGTTGTCTGGATTCGAGATGCCAAGATTTGTGCTGACAGCTCCTTCTACACAATCTGAGTCAGGCTGTCACAGCTGGCCATTAGAGGCTTAAAAAGACACACACATGTACAACAAATAGCACCAACTTTCCGTTATTGAATATCAGAACCTGCTTGATGAGAAAATGTAATGCCTTACACTGCTCTTTATTTTAGTGTAAACAAACACAGTGTCTCCAAACCCCTGCTCAAGCGTGGCGGCTGTTTATTTTATGTTGATTGCTTGCTCTTATTTAGGAGCACAGGACTAGAAGGGACTTCCTGGGTCAGGAGATCCAGGCCTTGATAATCCTAAGCATCATATTTTATAATCCTCCTCATTACCTTACTTTTCTTTAATGAAAACAGTTCCTTGTAGTTTCAATTTGTCCTTGCAGCCATTTGCCTGGTATGATTTTCTTGGCATGGAGGAACAAGCACCAAAACTTGCCTTGTTTAGGGATGGGATCACGACTAGAGCAGGGCAAAGGATTCTGCTCATCAAAAAGGGATTTTCTGAAGCTGTTTATCCTGCAGTTCCTCGGTGTCAGTGTTCAAATTCTGCTGACCTAGCATTTGGTTTGGGTGCTAAAAGATGGATGCTTGCAAAAGTTAACTTTCTGATTTAAAGTAAAACAGGATCAAACAATTCCCTGCCCCACTTTTGGATATGGAAAGAGGTCAGATTAGCTTCTGCTTAGTCAACTGATGGTTATTGCAAGTGTAACACTGCTCTGTCTGGTTGCACTAGGTTTTAAACTTGCTATAGGATTAAATTTTGCATGGCTGAGCTTTAGTAGGCCTTAGTCTGTAGTTTATTTTGGACAAAAGGTTGATAAACTTTGGCTCACAAGGAGGAAGCCTGGAATCTAAGACCCACTATTATTCATTGACGCGTCTTTATGAGTTTACAGTCCACTGATGCATAACACCGAAGGAAATATTTTCAGTAAAATGTTTGCTTTTTTCTTTGGCTTTGTAAAATGCAATGTCTTTTCTTAGAGATATATGTCAGGGTCATATAGCTACTTCAGTGAACTGTGTATGGTCAGGAAACAGACTGCATTGAAAATATTTCATTTTTCTGTGAAGTCTTTTTACCAAGACTTCCCCCCTTCTCCTCTCAGGGTTTTGGTCTCCCACTAACCAGTATTTGAGCGTTAATTTCATGTACAAACTGGGTTTAATTGTGGAAGGGAGATTTCAGATGTATGGAACATTTTCAGTAGTTTTGTGTTAAATGAAAATTTTCACATGACAGCGAACTTGTAAAAAAAATTCCCTTATACATGAGGGAATTTTCTTGGCTGGCATTTTTCTATCCTGTTTTTGCTGTACTATATATATGTCCCTTACTTCCTTGCTGCTATGGATGGCACAGTGAAGCTGTGAGGGAGGGACTGACTCTGCAAAATTTAATGACTCTGACACAACAGATCTATTAATTCGATGCTTAAACGTTTAGCATGAACTTACATATTTTGCTGGATTGGGGCCCATGTAAGCTCTGCTCCCTCTTTGGATGGTCAGTGGGATGATTTGTCTGTGTTCAGAATACTAATGTAAATAAGGCTTTGTTGGACCAAATGTGCATATGTTACATAGTACTACTGTGCACTGTTCATAAGATGTTAATGTCTGTTTCTCTTTCTCCACAGGTTCTTCTTGAAATTTTTCCTCAAATGTAACCAAAATTGCCTAAAAAATGCAGGAAACCCTCGAGACATGCGTCGATTCCAGGTCAGTCAGACATGCTTCCTCCTTTAAAAATCAGCAGCTGTCAGGGACAGAAGTACTTTGACCCAAACTAACCTAGTAATTCACTGGAAGATGCTAAAAACATAAGGTCACAGAATATTGCCTGAGGACTTCTTGTCACAGCAGAATCAGCAGGAAGTAGTTCGGTTTTCTTGCGCTGGACAAGAGAACTCTTGGAGATAATGTCACCTCCATGGGAAGTGAAAGTGTGAAAAGGAAAAATCAAAATGATCTCACTATTGTTTGAGGTTATGGGGCTACCCTGTTCCGAGATATTCCCTTCTACCTGGGGAACTATTTGCCTTCATGTAAACACATGAGCACCATGTTTAGTGGAAAGGGCAGAGGAGGATATAAGAGCAATTAATAAAATCAGGCTTGTGACTACACTTCAGCAGTTATTCTTCAGCAGTGTTAAAGACCCATAAATGTGCATCACTGGGATGAAGGGCCATCCCTGTAATTGGCACTTGGAAAAAAAAAAAAGCTCCCACTGGCTGTATCTTTCTTGGGCTGTTTTAGGCTGGTATTTCCCTGCTGTTGCAGCATGTGACAGTGGGGCTTAGGAACTTTAGTGTCAGCGCAGCTCCAGATGGTTAAGGACAATTTTTTATGCTGTGCCTATGTCCACGACTACTTTTGGGATCAGGTACCTCACTGTCCCTTGGGAAGATGGTCTGCACTTGCCTTCCCCAGTGCTGGCAGCAGAGTGGTATGGTGGCAGTGCTGAGAAATTGTTGCTCCAAGCCCTTTATTGAAGATGTGGTCCTTTGACTGTGACAATAATGCTTTACCTGAGAATGTGCTGAATAAAAATATGGACTAGAGAGGCAAAGGACCTTCTCTTTTAATAGGATGAGTGTATATGGCCCAGGGAGAAAACATGATAGAGTCTGTCAGTGGGGATTCACCTCAGGGTTCTGAGAAAGAAATGTGAGATTTGTCCCATAGACTACATGGGACTCTGGGAGAACACAACTCCAAAAGACAGCTGCTTTCTGCAGTACCTCAGGACCTTGTTTGCTCTTTTCCAGCATTGTAGCACTTAAATAAAATTTCTAGATGCTATGTAAATGGTAATATTATTTATATGTAGAACATATGTCTTCTGTTGAACTGCTTAATTGCAACAATTCTGGAAAGCAGAAGGGTGTTATTTACCCCTCTGAGCATAAAAGTGCAGAAGTGAGGAGATGTGGCCACAGGGATTAAATTAATCAGTGTAAGAGCTAGCATTAGCATGGCAGAGCCCTCGGCTTCTCACCCTACACTCCTCTCTCCGTTACGTTTCTCCTGTGATTCGAGAGGGCATTATCACTGAAGGAGAAAGTAGAAAAAGGACTCTTACCAGCACAGGGATTTAGGCCAAGCAGTCACCCCTGGGGCCTGTCAGAGCTTGCTTTGCAACATGTACACTCTGCTGGATTTGTGCTCGTCCAGGCTCGAGGCTGATTTTCATATGGTAATGCCTTTGCGTGTTCTCTCAGAACAGCAATCAGGAGCCTGTGTCGGCGAGTAGGTAGGACATAGGAAAGGTGGTTGATCTCTTGACTTGTAAAGACATTCTGTCATACAAACCCAGCTTCACAGCAGTTGAGCTTTCCATGTGTAAACAGAGACTGCTTAATTACACAGGTCATGTCAATTAGTGTGACCTTACCATTTTCTAGAAATTCATCACCTTCAGCCGAGCGAACCACTCATACTATAATACAGGGTGGTATTGAAGCTCGTACCCATCTGTTAAGTGCCCAGGCTTATTGTTTTACAATAGCTGCTTTTGTGGTCTTTTGGTTTTGGTTTGTTGTTTTTTTTTTTTAAATTTTGAACTTGTTACTCTTTGAGCAATAGCCTTCTCGAAATAAAACAGAATGCTTCTCCAGAGTCCAGGTTTCATTTATCATTTTTTAGGGTGTAAAGGACCAAACATACATATAGTATCTCAATGATATGATGCACCTAGATGTTTGAGACAATGTTGTGTGGGAACCAAATGAAGTTTGGGCCCCTGTGAAGTCAATGGAGGGTTTGCTCTCAGCTACATTTGAAATATTGCCGGTGACTTACAAGGTCTCTAATAGTTATATCAAAGTTCTTGTTAAAAACCATAAGAATAAGGTATTTCCAGGTACTTTTAAAATAGTAGTATACCCTTTTTACACACACAAAAATGGAGCCTTTCCTGTTCTTTACTCCATTCCCCTACCTGTGCTGGACTGTTAAGCTGTCCAGAAGTTTTTCCATTTTTTGGCCATGGTCTCTAATTCATCAGTCCCCAAAAGTTGCTAGGAGCTGTTAGAACAGATTGTGATTTTGGTGGGACAAACAGTGAAAAGACAGGGATACAAGTCTTGCACTATCTAAGGATCAGCCTTGTGGTAAGTTTATTTTCTTAGTAGTTTTGGGTTTTTTTTCCTGCAGCAGGGAATTGTCTGATTATTATATGGTATAAGAGAGTTATATAAGAGAGGGAAGAGGCAGAGAATGTGTTGATTCAGGTCACCTGTGTGTGAAGCTTCATTCAGACTCACATACAGAAATTAATTAGGAAGTCTTATCCTGAACTTTCCTTGCAAATGTGGTAGTGTGATAAGCCTAACATAAAAGCAGTTGCGAGCCTGGAAGGACATACATTTCTCTGCAAGTCTGAGATGTCCAGGCATGTAACAACTGAAGTGGTGTCGAGTGCCAGCAAAGGTGTGTGCTGGAGCAGTGCGGGCCCTGGCTACGTTAGTTGTTGTCTCTATTAGCAGATGGAGACAGTCAGACAGAAGTCAAGTACTATGCAGGGAGTCAAGACAGTTGAGTTGAGTGTTCAACTGTACTACAAACTCCCTGCTTGTGAGGAAAATAATTTTATCTCTGTGTTTCATCAGCCGAACTGAACAAAACTTTTGGTGATATCACATATTGTCACCTTTGTCCAGCCTTGCCTTTTTATTCCAAAAACCCCATGGAGCAGGTGCTCAGTCTGGTTTGGCATTCTTCATAACAATAAGTCATCGGTCTTGATCGGATGGGCTGTAGTGCCCCAATTAGTGATAATAATAATAATATTAATAATAATAAGTAGATGGTATCATGGGTGAACTCTGCACAGATTTTATTTTTCAGCACTAAAAACTCATTCATACAACCTAAACAGTTTTGTATGTTATTGTAATTAATGAAACCCAGGTGCCCTAGTTATCTTGTTGTTCTTGTTTTAGTGCAACTACTTGCAAACTGACACGTGTCAAGTTTTAATTTAGAGGAAACTTTCCAGACTGAGTCACTGCATAAAACCCCAAACATTCATTTATTATGAAAACCTTGTAAGTCACTTAGAAATTGCCTCGCTGTTTGATTCTGTTACCACAACCTCTTCCTCAGCCTAGGCTGCTAGTTTGCCTCCATGGGATGCTGCCACTCATGTTTGAATTGAAGCCACTTGTGTCTTATTGCAAATTTGCATAAGAGACAGAGATGATGCTTCATGAATCCCAGATAATGGAATCTGGACATGAAGGCTCCATCCCCAGAGAAGGGAAAAGGCAAAAAAAAAAAACCTGCTGAAAAATCGCAGTGAGAGATGTGGCCCAATTCAACAAGGTAATTAAGTGCCCGGCCTGTCCTTGAGCACGTGAGCAAAATTACTGAATATATTGTACTTACATGCTTTAAGTTAGGCACCTTTTTAATTCTTAAATCGAGAGTGATTTTTAGTTACAACAATAAAGAAGTCAGTGCATTGTAAGAAGAGGTCACCAAGTGGGGATGAAAATAAAGATGTTTCATAAGACGTTTCTGCATAGCTTTCAGAAGAGCAGCAAGCACTAGAGTTACAGGTTTAACACTAATGACACACTTCAGACCTGGAAATCATCTTAATCAGATTTTCTCTGCTTTTGCCACTGGATGTTAGGGACATCGCAAAAATATCAGTTCCCTCACCATACATTGGAAGAAATTGAAAGCACAAGGAACATGCTATGTCTTAATCAGTTAGCAAAGCTTAATGGGCTGTGGTTAAAAATGAGGAGTCATGCAATGCTTAATTTTGATGTATTAGGTGAGGTACTATAACAAATAAACAGGCCGAGTGCTAAACGTGGATAAATAGCTTGATCTCCAGGCTCCTGGTCTCTGAATTTTTTTTTTTAAACTAAGCTCCAAAGTATTCACAAACTGAACTATTTAATGGCAGGCAGAATAATTCACAGAGCCATGATACGTTAATGCAGTTGATAGTGCCAACTTCATTGAAGAAAGTTGTAAACCACTGTATTTCTTTCATACCTCTGTCTCCCCTGGTGTTGATACAGGATTTAAATTCAAAATCTATGAAGGGCTAAAGCTAAAGCTCAAAATCATTTTCCATGTTTGCCTGTCCCAAATTAAAACTGTGTTTTGTTGACAAAATTTGGAAAGGTTTGAGATTTGGCAGGCCTGGTTGTCCCTGTGCTTACATTAATGTGTCAGCACCTCATTAATCATTTATTAAACTGTAGTGTGCTTTTCCCTCTTGCTATGGTCTGTGTTTTAGGATGCCTCAGCGCCCATTCCACATATACTTTGGCTCTCCCCTCCCCCTAATTTTATGATTTCTCCACAAATTAGTTTTAGCATGTGCTTTAACTTGAACATATCCCAGTCGTTTCAAAATCAAAATGAGGAGAGTGTAGTATTTTTTTAGATTAAAAAATATGAGTAGAACTTGTAAGTATGTAAGTGCTCTGTAGCTTTCCAAGTATGTAACTGTGGCACACAATATTCAAGGTGTATTATTTTGTCTGCTAATAATTAGGGGCATTAATACTTTGTTAGTGCAGTGTATGTTCAGTATTCTTGTATTAATGAGATTTTGCGTTTAAAGAATTAAGCAGTAAGCGTGTGCTGCTTCTTACAGGTGCACTATGAATAATCATTTTTTTTTCAGACAGATACATAAGAGTAACCACCTTTTTTTCTGCGTTTCCTGAAACTGGAAACAGTTTCTCTTGGGGATTCCTTTTATAGTTTCTTCTGCTAACGACACTGAAGAACCACACCAATGTGGTCTCTTTGTAGTAAATCAAACTCTCTGTTCAGGAGGTAGGTAGGAAGACACTGTTAAGTAATTCAAAATATGTTGCATTAACAGTTGCGGAAACCTGAAGGAGGGGGTGGTGTGGAAATTTGTGTGAGTAAATCTACATTTAAACTGACCTCACTAGGATTGTTTCCTCGAGTTTTTCCCTAGAAAGGTGCATGTATAGCAACAGCTACTTGTATATATGGTTTTCACAGGTTTGAGACCTACCTTGCTATTATTCCTCTTGACTTGTTATTTTTCTGGAATCTTATTTCTAGAAATGTTCAAAAGTTTCAGTTTCAGCATAGGATTGATCAACTTCAGTGGGAAATCTGTGTGTACCTGTTTGGTTTCAGGACTGGGGAAAATATTTTATGTTGTAGCCATTGTTAGTAATTGTACTAGTGTTAATTCTCATAGGCATCTAAAGACACCCATAGAAGAAGATTAGGAGCTGGCATAAATCATGGAGCTGTGACAGGCAATGCCAGCTAAGGATTTGGCTCAAAATCCCAGGTGCAAAGAATTTACAATGGTTGCAAGTGCACAAATAAGATTGCAAACCCTGAGCCACTTACTATAAGATCATATTTTATTGAAAATATCATAAACTTTATTCTATCCCTCAGGAATGCAATGGATAAATTACTTTTGAAATCCCTTTTGGAATTTTATATATAGGGCTTGGGTTTTTTTTTCCCCTTAGTTTGATTTCAGAAAAACTTGTCTATAGTATTTGGTGCTTTCTTTTTCCCAAATTTCCATCTGTAAGAGCTCTTGAATCATTTATTCTGTATTTTAATATCTTTCACTTAAAACACACACAAAAACCTATTGCCTGGAATGCCATTCCGAGGGATGGTTTTAGGATCCTTTAGATGTAAACTACCCTCTTTTGTATTCCTCTTTTTAAAGACAAAGACTTCAAGATTAGCTGTGGACAGTTCAGCATCTTTGCTTACTTTATATTTTTGAGCATTTTAATTGGTGGTCAGAAATATGTGGAAAATTTTTTCTTTCCCATTTTTTTTTTAGATCCAATTCAAGTGATGAAATTGAATTGTTGTAAGCGATCCTTTAAGTGTCCCCATTTGACCAACTTTGAGAGGCAGCAGCTTCCTGAGAGAGTTGAAGCAATGTTTGCCAATCCTTGTAAAGCATTTCACCTCTTCAGAGGCTAAAGCCTCTCAAAACCAAGAACAATTAAAGCGAGAGCCTTTCAGAGCGACTGGGGAATTCAGCAAAATAAATCAGAAATCCTCTGCCGTGGCTCTGGAGGCTTGCCTCATTATAAGAGCAGATCTATTAGCCCCCTTGCCATTGTCTTTCATTTCTCAAGTGAGGTGATTCTAATTAAATTAATCTGCATGTCAATCTATCGGTGATCAATCAAAAGGGCTGAGGTCCCCCTTTGCGGCAGTGTGCTTGCGGCTGACAGGGGCTGATAATGGAGGAAGAAATAAACTGTCGAGCAAAGTTAATTAGTCAACATAATAGGTGGATTAAACAGGAGCTGCTGATTGCTGTTTCACATGTCGAAGCATGAGGTGGGAGCTGAAACTGCAATTAACAGACAATTATTATATTTGGTTGTAAGAGGTCGCATGAATAAACATATCTCTATGGGTTTCAGTTTTTAATCCCTTTCCCTGTTTAATGTAAGGAGAAGTGTAGGTCATTTCTTCTTATTGTTTTAGTTGAAGTTTTTGAAGGCGATGTGTGCTGCTGGCAAACCAGCAGCCAGCTGAAGGCCAAATCTTTGACGGGGGTAAAACCCTGGGAATGCCATACTTTGTTGGGAAAAGACTGTGGGAGGGGGTGCCTGGATGAAGAACAGGGAAACTATGAGGTCGCTGGATCAGAGTGGGGTGGGAGAAAACCTGGTGTGATGAGCTTGCATCTCTACCAGGGATTTGTCCCATGCATCCCCCCATTTCCATTTTCTCCACAATGGTTCGTGGCTTGGGTGCCCTCAGCCTGAGCAGGGATTTCCTATAGGATGGTGCCTGCTGAGCCTCCATGTTGACAGGTCCCTTGGACACCTCTGAGCAGTTGGGTCTTCTACTCTGGACCCAAAACCTACCTGTTTGCCCCCACTGGGTTGGCTGCTCTCCCACACCGAGCTGCTCTGGGGAGCAGAAATGTCGGATCCTGCCTCCAGGCAGTGCTTCTCTGTGTCGCTCCCCTCACCTCAAACCACATCCCAGGTGTTGACATTGAGATAACTTGAGAAATACAAATAATTCTAACGCTGGATGAATAAGGTTGTGTTCTCCAGATCAAGACCCCACTGTCAAGCGTGTGTGTGTACACAAACATGCCTATACGTACGCCCTAAGATAGAGCTTGGGGGAAATTTGGGCAAGTCCAACAACCTGTAGTGACTGTACTGCGGGGAGAGCAGTAGTAAAGGGGAAGGGGGAGGCATGCAACACCTCCCATTACAACTTCACAAAATATACTTTTGTTTTCTTTTATTCTGAATCGATTCTCATTTGCAATGTCAACAGCCCTATCTACTTCAGCATGGAAACTGAAGGATAATTTAGGGTGAAACACAGCTGCCCTTGTATATAGGGGAAAAAATACTTAATAAAGATCCTCTTGTTAAAATGATGGTTAACAGCGTGCCGTCTGCCATGCAGCTACAAACTCTGCAATTTGACTTAAAACTGCATCAAAAGCTTTCGATGCCAAAGACCCACTCATCAATAGCGTCTCTTGTTAGATTTGTACAGCATAAGCACCAGTTATTATGCGAAATAGCTATGCAATTTTCTACAGCTCCCAGCTGTTATTTATTTAACTGAGTTTATTACACTCTGTGCTTCTTAAAAAACATATATATATATCTCCAAATTTTCCTCCATTTTGCTCTTGTGCTTGCAGGTTGTGGTGTCTACAACAGTCAATGTTGATGGCCATGTGTTGGCAGTGTCGGACAATATGTTTGTACACAACAATTCCAAGCATGGGCGGAGAGCTCGAAGACTTGATCCCTCGGAAGGTACGCCTTCTTATCTGGAACATGGTAGGCATATCATTTTCATTGGTTGGCATTGCTACTTTAAATGTGGATTTATTTGGTTTATGTCTGTGGCAACTGGTTTCAAATTGTCCTGTAAGAGTTTATACCTTTGGGACCAAGTATTTTAAAGAGACTGGTCACCAGACCAAAGGGGGAGTTTTTCAAGCAGGTCAGCCCTAAATGTAGTGAAATGACAAACCAGTAAGCAAATATGGGTGTGGAGTTTGTCCTGTGTGTCAGTGAAGTGTGGTGACTTTTTTTTTTTTTGGTTGCGTCTATTCGGCACCCAAAACTGGAGTCTGATCTTTTCCAAATTGGCTTGATTTTTGGCCACACATCTTAAAGATTTTGCATATATTCTGAAGTTTTCAGCACCCAAATATCAGATTGGATTTCTTCTGTCTATCGAGTTCTGAGCTTTAGGAGATCCAGCTGTTCCTTTGAATTACCCTAAATGAAAGCAGAGCCCTTTTGGAAATCCATCTGCTTGCTCAAGCCATGGATGGATGTTCTCTCCTGGCTCCAGCTGTGCCAGCTGAGGAAGCTGCTCTTCACTGCATGCCATAGCTGCCTGTCTCTCCTCCCTGCTGCAGTCTATTCTCCACCATGAACATGCCAGCTAAGATGGTTGTCTGACTGCTCCCTAGTCTCCTTCACTCCAAAGAAATTCATCTGAGTTAAACTGTTTAAATAATAACTCTTTGCCAATCTATCTTAGTTTGCTGAAATGATTGAAGGAGAAGTGGTGCAAGGCAATTTGGCTTTTCTGAAAGGACAGTAAACCCCAGCAAGGGTGGAATGGAGGCACATGGCTGGAAGCAGCCTGGAGGACAGTAATCTTTTCCGTAATATCAGCTGGTCCTGGAAGAGAACACTGCTGGTGACTGTAGGTGCTTAAAATGGGAGTTGTTGAGTGCAAATGTACTTTGAAAAATCTGGATTTGATTAATGTTTTGTTTTGCTCTTTGTCCTCAAATTGATGACTCCTACTGAAAAGCAAAACAAAAACAGAGGGCATTTCACTCCCCTCTCCCTGTTCCAGCTTGGTAGAATAGCTCTTTGTCTTCAAAGCATTTTGTAATCCTAAATTCAATAGGTGCTTGCTCCCTCTCAGAGATGTGTACCCTCAGCTTCCATTGAAGTAGTTGAGTGTAGAAGGCACCAGTCCTTTATGCTGGTTTGTTTCACAAATATTTGCCAAGGATCTGATGAATAATTAAATAGATTTTTCCACAGAGTTTGAAGAAACCAGATAAAATTTTCTCTGGGAAAGCGAATGCCACTCAGAAAAATGTTAACTAGATATGTTAAAAGAAATTATTAATACTGAGAAATGGGCAAATGTGTGGGTTTCGACTCACAGTGGATTTCTGTGGAAATAGCTTTCTATTCTGTTCATGCTTTCAGGCATCAGTCCTGCAAGCACTTATGCATATATTTAAGATTATCCACACATATGGTCCTGTTGGGATCAATGAGGCTTCTTGTGTCAGTAAAGTTGAGGGTATTGATAAGTGTTTGCAGAATCAGGTCTGTAGTTCACACTTACTAACCTAAAATTCTTAGCTCAGCAGCGTTTCTCATTATATAAACATAACTTACATCTGTATTTATTTAGCTCTAACTTTTTATGTAGGCTATGAGCCATTTTCAGCCATAATTCATGTTACAGAATTTTTTTTTCATCCTGCCAACAACCTAATTTAATAAACAAACCACTGTCATAATTTTTGCTGAATTTTTGTAAAGAATGTACGAACTCTGTCTTTATTAATTAGCAGAAGGCAGAACAAAAGGAAGCATCTATCTGTTCAACTTCACAATCTTTCCATTAAGTCTAGTCTTAAAAAAAAAAAAAAAAAGAGATCCTATTTTTTATATTCCTACAAAAGTAGATGTCATCCTTTTTTTAAATTTTTTTTTTTTCCCCTCCCCATTGCAGTCTTCTCAGTGCATGCTTTTGGTCAAGGCAATACTTACTTTCTCATACATAAATGTTCTTATTCTCATGCATGGTGTAATAGCATCTCACTTTACTATAGCTATCGTTCCCACTCCTAGTACCTGAAGGATTCTGTTAGCAAAAAGGAACAAAAAAAAGATAATGCTATGCTTGCATATCTATTCAATCCCTAGTTACTATGCTAACATTAAAAATCAACATCTGCAAAATATCTCCATGTGTACATTTTGTGGGAAAGGTGATTTTTCTAATCTACTTTCTCAGGCATCTCTCAAGCAACTTTATAAAGCAACCACTAGTAACTTCTTACTTTTGAATAGCCACCTCCACACTACAAAAATGCACTCTTTCCAAAGGCTCGGTGAAGCCTTTCTTTTTAACTTAAATTCTTCAATCCAGCTCTCCAGAATTCTATGCACATTTGAGTCCAAGTTACAGGAAAAAAGAAAATTAAAAAGAAAATCCAGTAACTGTTTTAAATGTTGTTGTTAGATGTCTAAAACACTTAACTGAATGAAAAAAAGAGATAGGAAAAGTCCCAAACTGGGCTCAATGCTATTGAATTTTGGGCAACCACCATGAATCTTAGACCCATTGGAACAGATGCGTTTCCTCTACTCAAATAAATTGTTACTTTTAGTTTGAGTGCTGAAGTATATTATTTTTCTACAGTTTTTGGAATTTTTATCTTGCATAATATCTTCAAGTGTAAGTAACAGAGACAGTTTGTTTGCCTTTCCTCTTTCCAGCTTTTCTACCTCCCTCAGGGCAAGGGCAGACTGACCTGAGCGCTCTCTGTAAATGGTGAAATGGGAGGCTAATGTAGTCATGGCTAGTTTGTCTCTGGTTTAGTGCTCTGGAGAGCAACTTCTGATCATAGGTTTTTAAATGCTGGGATCTAACTATAATATGCCCTTGACCAAATGTATTTCTGTGTACTTTTGTAGATGTTTCAGTCTATAACAAAAATATCTGATTGCAGTGGAGATGAATGCCTGGCTGTGTGAGGACTGGGGAAAGGGGAGAGGGGATGTAGCAACGTGTACTGGTTGCCTAGTTTAGTTAGACAATATCCAGCTTATTTTTCCTTGCCAGGCTGTGTTGGAATGTGCTGTTCTTAAACATGGAGTTGCAGTTTATTTGACTCCTAAAAGAGACTTTGGGTGCCAAAAAGCTGGAAAGAAAGCTTTACCTCCTGAGGCATTCAGGAGCCTGGTGTCTCCACATTCAGGTTTTACCATCTCATTAGCAGGTAGCCTGGATTATTTTGGGGACATCCAACACATCTCTATTTATATCTTGCTTGTCAGACAGTAAAATGAAAGTTCCTTTTCGTAGCTTGTCTCTGAATTTAACTAGGAACCTAGATCATGATTTTGTATCCACACACTGTCCTCCTTGAAACCAGTGGGTTAAGAAGCTTGTATTTCAAATAAATATATCTATCTTTCAAAAGTAATAGCTGGGAGAGGCCAATTATTTCATACATCTCTGTGTGGTATAAATAGGGTAAGCCACAGTAATCTGTGGTTTTCAATAATTATCACTTTTTCATTCACAAATAGTTGTATTCTCACTTGTTTTATATTTATGGTAAACCAGAAAGCCAGTGTGGTTGACCTTTCTAAATTGTACATATATAGTAAGATGTATACTGAAGAGCTAGTAGGCTCCAACCAGTAGAATGTATTTCAGCTTGTAGATCATTCCAGGGTGTCAATTTTAAAAGTAAAATCTTTCTGATGCAATTTAAGTGACTAGCTTATGGAAGGAGGCTTTGCAACAACCCTTTTCAAGTTTACCAGCATGAAGTCCACTGCTGCAGATGTCTGCAAAGTTTCCCGTTAAAACTCTCATATTGCTGCAAAGTAAAAATTCTTTTTTTTCCCCCCAAATCTTTGAATGGCTTTACAAGAATGTAAAGCCAATTGCAGCATCGGTTTCTCAATTATTTTTCCTCACTGGCAGAATGCAATGCCCTCGAAAAATGATAGTCCCTGAGACCCTGTCAGTTTGCATGCTCTAACACTTTATTATCTAATGATCTAATATGCAACAAGGCAAAGAGGGGGTGCTTATCACCCTGACAGGATGCCTAAGAGAAGTGACTAAATTACTTTATGTACCATTAGCGCTAGCTGCCACGGTGAACTCACTGTGAGCATTTATGCAAATATTCCTGAATACATTCAAGTGGCCTTGTCAGGAAGACAACTGACAAGCAGCTTAAATGCTTGCATTTTTAAAGGGACACTTTTAGTTCTTTTTCTTTTCCTTCCTCCTCTTCCTCCTTCATAGGAGAGCACTGAAGAACTAGGTGATGGTGAGGTTTGCTGGCAATTTGATTCTCAGTCAGTTCAACAGCAGCAAAAGATGAAAGATGCAGGGTAGAAATAGGGACAAAATATAAGATGTGATGCCAGAATTTGCAGGTGGAAGCAGAGACAACCATGATTTCTAAAGCAGTGTCCTGCCATTATTTTAATATGAAATATACATAAATCTGTGCCTGGATTATTTGATCGCTCTATTGTGGTACCTGAGACAGTCAAGCTTTTACAATGTTGTTTCAGTTCATGATAATAATGAGTGATTCAGCCCATTTGCTGTCTGCAGGTGCAAAACCTCCTACATTAAGTGTAGTGGTTGCTGTGCCTCAGCTGGGTACGTCAGGTAGTTCCTCTCATCAGCAATGGGGCATTTAAAGAGCTTTTCTTGCCAGTCCTGTCCATCTTGGGCAATCTGACAGCCCAGTCACCACAGTAGGCACATTCACAGATTTTCCACTAAATCTTCAGATTTGAGAACAAAAATGATTGCTAGGCTGTGTCTTAGTTGATTAGATATTTTCTATTTAGGTGAATAAAAAAGGGAAGTTTTTTTCCCCACCTTATAAACTATTTTGAGAGGATGATCTTTAAAATCAAACTTTTGAGACGGACAGCCTTTAAGTATCATTGTTTTGTAGTCATTGTATACCTTGAATTTAGCTGGGCACATCAGTCAATGATTCCTGAAAGTTTCTCAGAAATCTGACTTG